GCCCTCCCCCTGGCCGCCGGGGGGAGAGCAGAGCCCCCGCCGGGGCTCCGGCCGCCCCCTCCCCGGTTCCGGCCGCCCCCTCCCCCCCGGTTCCGGCCGGAGGCTTTTTTGCCTGGGGCAGCAAAAAAGCCAGAGCTGGCCCTGAGGAGGACTGAATATCTGAAGGGCTTGGGAAAGTTTTACTGAATTCTGTACGGCATTTGTTACTCTGATTAGATGTTTGCCCGTGTGTTGGGAAGATCTAAGGAACCATAACTGGAATTGCAACCTGACCATTGCAATGCATTGAAACAATCTGGATTTCCATTCCACTTCCTCATAAATAGAGTTTCATTAGAGCCAAGTTTGTTGTGGGTCAAATTACTGTTTCTACTTTCATGGTTGCAAAAGATGGGTTTGTAACATGGCTGGAGTTGGGGTGACTCAGGGCAGGATCTATACTGATCTTTTAGTTAGTCTATCTTCTACACCCCCCACGGAGGGGGGCATGCTGGGGCTACTATCAGCCATGCCTGAGTAAGAATTAAGTACAGACTTCAGGATTCGGCTCTTAATACAGCTTATATAGGTACACCTATATAGAGCATGCAATGTAATTCATAATGTCACCAATAAAAAGCACCTGGGAGTCCTTCCCGGGACTTCAGTGGGCATTGATTTAGGCCCAATATCAGTCTGTCTTGCAAATGGGGTTTGCTGCTTGCAAGATGATAGACTGATATTGGCAAGGCTGGATAAATAGAACAATGGAACTGTCAAAGCTAGCGTTTCTACTGTGTATGTCTGCACAGAGTAGACAGAGCTTTTGACCTGGCATTGCTAACTTGGTGACGGGTGCCATGGTGCCCATGGAACCCCCGGGGCTTCACCCAACCTTCCCAGGCTGCCCGATCAGTGCCGAGAGCCTCACAGAGGCCAGTGGCCTTGGTATCCCGTTCTCCTCCGGTGCTCGAAGCTTCAGGGGTAAGACCCCACAGATCCAGGAGGACCTGGGGAGCTAGCTGCTGGATCACCAATGTACGTGGAGGTTCCCTTGGCACCGTCCTCGATGTCACCAGACATGGCTATCATGGGGCGCCCTCACCCAGTTCCTCAGGATGATGCCAAGGCACACCAGGAACTTTTGAAGAGGGTTGCTTCTAACCTGGGGCTTCAGGCAGAGGAACTGGAAGAGCCCTTGGACTCTCTGTTTGATGTCATCGTCTCCTGCCAGGGGAGCTCTACCCCTTCATGAAGGGGTCTCCAAAATCACTAATGCCCTGTGTCAGACCCCCTCCCCCCCTTCCCTGGCCCTATCTCTAAAAGGTCCAAACTTAAGTACTTTGTGCCAACCAAAGGGCATGTGTACCTATACTCCCATCCGGCCCCCAATTCCCTTGTGGTCGAGGCGGTTAACCACAAGGAGAGGCAGGGACAACCCGAGGCCACCCCCAAAAATAAAGACTTAAGGAGGTGGGATCTTTTCAGATGTAAAGTTTATTCGTCTTCCAGCCTTCAGCTGAAAGTAGCCAACCACCAAGCCCTCCTTGGCCGATATGACTTCAATATGTGGCAAGCCAGGGCCAAGTTCGAAGGTCACTCCTCGATGCTTCCAAGAAGGAGTTCTGAGTGATCCTCGATGAGGGCACAACTGCGTCCAGGGCGGCCCTCCAAGCGGCGTCAGACACTGCTCATGCTGCTGCCCGCACCATGGCTTCCGCTATCTCTATGCAGCAAGTCTCTTGGCTGCACCTCTCTGGGTTGTTCACCGAGGCCCAGCAGTCATTGCAGGCCCTGCCCTTAGACAGCAGGGCCTTATGCAAACAGCCTCAAGGATTCCTGCACCACCCTGAAAACCCTGGATCTCTACATCCCAGCCCTGGCACATAAGCGGTTCAAACCACAGCAACCTCAGGGCCAGGGGAGCCATCCTCAGCAGGACCAGCCCCATAAATGAGTCCAGGATTACAAGCGCCGCCCACGCCACCCGCCTCCACCCTCTGCCCAGTCAGGCTCAACCCGTAATAAGCAGGGGGCCAAACGGTCATTTTGAAGGTGTGCCCGAGGGCAACCTACCAGACTATTCCCCGGATTCACCTTTCCCAGTGTTCTCCGACCGCCTTTCCCCTTTCCTCCCGACTTGGACCACTGTAACTTCGGACCACTGGGTCCTCAGCACAGTGGAATGGGGTTATACCTTCCAGTTCCTTTCTACCCCCCCTTCCTTCTCACCTTCCCCATCCCTCTTCAGGGACCCCTCTTATGAGAGTCTCCTCATTCAGGAGGTAAAGGGGTTACTACAGCTGGGTGTGGTGGAAGAAGTTCCTCTCGAGTACAGGAACAAGAGGTTCTATTCCAGGTACTTTTTAATCCCAAAGGCAGTCTACGGCCCATCTTGGACCTGCGAGACCTCAACAAGTACCTAAAGAAGCTAAAATTCTGCATGGTCTCTCTGGCTTCTATTATTCCCCTCCCTGGATCCAGGAGACTGGTATGCTGCCCTCAACTTGAAGGACGCATACTTCCACATAGCAATCTTTCAAGGACACAAATACTTCCTCCAGTTTACGGTGGGTCCCCACCACTACCAGTTTACGGTCCTCCCGTTCGGCCTGGTGACAGCACCGAGGGTGTTTACCAAGTGCATGTCAGTGGTAGCAGCTTACCTCGGGCGCCAGGTATCTAGATCTACCCGTACCTCGACGACTGGCTCATCAAGGGCGGTTCCAGGTCTCAAGTGCGAATGGATGTCGTGGTGCTTCAAGCCACATGCCACTCTCAGGGCCTACTGGTGAACGACAAAAAATCGACGTTAATGCCGGAGCAAAGGACAAAGTTCATCAGAGCGGTCCTCAACTCTGTCTGCACCAGGGCGTTCCTGCCACTGGAAAAGTTCCACACATTGGCAAACCTCATTGCAAAAGTCTCTGCATTCCCTCTGACTACAGCCAGGGTCTGTCTGCGCCTGCTGGGCCACATGGCAGCATGCACTTATCATAGAAAATCAGGGTTGGAAGGGACCTCAGGAGGTCATCTAGTCCAACCCCCTGCTCAAAGCAGGACCAATCCCCAGACAGATTTTTGCCCCAGATCCCTAAGTGGCCCCCTCAAGGATTGAACTCACAACTCTGGGTTTAGCAGGCCAATGCTCAAACCACTGAGCAGCCCCTCCCTGGCCTCTGCCCAACTGACCAGACCTGCTGTTGCAGGACCACGGTCGGCTCTTACACCCCAACCTTGGGTCCCTCCATCTCTCAGCATGGATGCTGCGTGTCTGAACCCGGAGGAGCAGACCTGTTTGGAAGGAGTCCAACAGGTCCTCCTGGAAAGTAGGAAGCCCTCAACTAGACTGACTTACGTGGCCAAGTGGATGAGGTTTTCCTGCTGGGCATCCGAACGGGGCATCTCTCCCTCGCGTTCCTCCATACAGACTGTCCTGGACTACCTGCTCTATTTGAGGAACCAGGGCCTGGCACACTCTTCCATTAGAGTGCATCTTGCAGCCATCTCCGCTTTTCACCTGCCAATCCAAGGACAAATGGTGTTCTCCCATGATGTGACGGTCAGATTCTTGAGAGAGCTGGAGAGACTCTTCCCGCAGGTGTGGGCTCCTGTCCCACAGTGGGATATTAACTTGGTCCTCTCTAGGCTCACTGGCCTGCCCTTTGAACCGCTGGGTTCCTGCTCCCTTTCCTATCTGTCATGGAAGGTCACGTTCCTGGTGGCGGAGACGTCGGCAAGACAGGTCTTGGAAATTAAAGCTTGACCTCAGAACCACCATACACGGTCTTCTACAAAGATAAGATTCAGTTGCAGCCCCACCCAGCCTTCCTGCCAAAGCTAGTCTCCACCTTCCATATGAACAAGGAGATCTTCCTCCCGGTGTTCTGTCCTAAACCACACGAGATCAGTGAAGAGAGGTGTCTTCACTCCCTGGACATCCAGAGGGCCTTGGCTTTTTATTTATAACTTAGCAAGCCGTTCAATAAATCGACTCAACTCTTCATCACTACAGCGGATAGGATGAAGGGTCATCCGGTGTACTCGCAGAGGATTTCCAATTGGATTACCTCATGCATAAGGACCTGGCAGGGGTTCCGCCGCTGCCAATCATCAGATCCCACTTGACGAGAGCACAGGCATCTTTGGCGACCTTCCTGGCACATATCCCTATCCATGACATCTATAGAGCCACAAAGTGGTCCTCTGTCCACACGTTTACTGCTAATGCCATCACTTAGCAGGCCAGAGATGACGCTGGGTTTGGCAGAGCTGTGTTGCAATCTACACGTCCGTGAACTCCTACCCACCTCCAGAGGTACTGCTTTGGAGTCACCTAATATGGAATGGACATGAGCAAGCACTTGAAGAAGAAAAGACAGTTACCATTTCCATAACTGGTGTTCTTTGAGGTGTGTTGCTCATGTCCATTCCATGACCCGCCCACCTTCCCCACTGTCGGAGTTTCCGGCAAGAAGGAACTGAGGGTGGGGAGGAGCCAGCGGCGCCCCTTATACCATGCCATGCAGGTGCCCCTCCAGGGGGTGCCAGAGCCGGTCCCCTACGGATACTGCCGAGGGAAAAACTTCTAGCACCACTGCATGTGGTGAGCACGCACACCTAATATGGAATGGACACGAGCAACACATCTCGAAGATCACGAGTTACGGAAAAGGTAACTGTCTTTTTCACTGATAGTCCTAACAGTTTATAATTATTACAAATGGCATAGGGAATGCAAGTAGACTAGACTAAAGGCCCTATCACAACCTGTAAAAGTAATGATAGTTTCAAAATAATCAGTTAAGATGAAGGGCCTGATTCTCCTCTCTTTACTCAAGGTTTAAACAAGTGGTAACTCAGTTGGTCACACCTGTGCAATGGCCTTTATATTTCTCTGAGATTAGTGTCATACAGAATTCACCATTGCTTAAGACTGTGCCTTTCAAAGTAATATTGATAATTACATTATGAAGTGTGAGGTCTATACACTCTATACTCAAAGACAATGTTTTTAACAGGATTGTTGATGGGATTGAAGATGGAAACCATCATGAGGGAAGCCAGACTTTTGACTTTGGCTCTGATCAACTCAGGCAGGAATCCCGGGTATCTCCTACAATTGTGGGTAAGTGCCATATCTAGCCACTCATTGTAATAGACACTTTTTTGATGACTTGCCTTTTGTGCATCTATATTTGCATGATTCTTAATAAAATAAGCCTTTATGAGTTATGTGAATGGGTTTAACATGCAGCTAAACTTAGTGTCATTTGCATTGACCGCAAATCATGACAGAAAGGTACAACTGGATATCATCAATGTGTCTGGGCCAGTTGTCCTGCTCCTCCCTATTACAAGTCAACATAAATGGCTTGTCAGGAGTTTGATTTCCACTACATCTTTACTAATATAGGGGCTGATTCTATGAGGTGCTGAGTGCCATCAACTCCATTAAATCCGCTGAACACGACACATTTCAAGATTGGGTCCCATAGGGACATACCTGGAAAATAATTTAAGAAGAACTATACTGGAACTTTGCTGCTATTTTACTATTAACTCTTGGCTTTTTACAGAGTTAACAGTGTGTCAGAAATGAACAGAGTGAAAGCCATGAGTAGCACGAAATGCTGGGCCGTCTTCTGAAAGGACTGATGAAATAAAGCAGCTGGCAGGAACACAAATATAAGGGCCCAGCCATTACTGGTGATGCAAAAGCAATGGGCTAGTGTTGAAATGGCATAACCAGTTGAACTCAGATTGTTTCCCATTTTCCCCTCCTAGATGAGGAAACCGTTCCCACAAAATTATGTATCTCTTGCCTCAATGCTCCTTGAAACTAATTCTTTTTGAAGGCAAAAACAACTGCATAATAGGGGTGTGGCAATTACATATGTGATTTTTTAAATTGCTGAATTATCAGACTTAACGCCTTGACAGAAGTTCTATATCTTCTCACAGAGTCGGTCCCACACAGGAAGAGGCAGTGCAAACTTCCCATAATACCTCATTTACATCCTTCCTATGCATTTTACATTGACCATAGAAAGCCATTAAATGCTAATTTCATTTGCTCCCAACCAAACCTGAGGTCAGATTTAAAGCAGAGAACCAGTGAAATAGTCCCCTTACTAACTCCCTAAACCACCTGATAATGTATTTCTATAATTTACATATATGCATGGATTATTTACAGACTCTGAAGTTGGTGCTGCAGTGCTAGTTATCAAAGCAGAAGAAACCAAACAGCAGATCAGCAGGCTTAACCATGAGGTACGGAGATTTGTTTTATTCTGATTAACAACACTTTGCTTAACAACAACACGAGAAGAGCTGGGCAAAACCCCATGATGTTTGGGAATTTCACAACGTTTTGAATTTGCAAAATTAGGAAGAGATTCCCAAATCATCTTACCTGTAATTTAAATACATTGTTTCTAATACCTTCCAAGAGTAATTCAAATAAACAAAGAAACATATTTTATCTAGTCTGTGCTATGTATTAGAGTTAGCCTAGTCTTGATGGTTCTTCTGTCACAAGTAAGCAGCCTCTATATGGTGTGTGTGTGTGTGTGTGTGTGTGTGTGTGTGTGTGTGTGTGTGTG